CTCTCCCGGGTCGAGTCGGCACAGGGTTAGCCTCGGGGTCAGAGGGCGATAGGTGCGGCCTTCCCGTAGTGGCCCTCGGGCCATCCTGGGGGTCGGGGGCACCTGGCACCGTCTGACAAGCGGGCAGAGGGCCTGCTCCGGTCGTCGGGGGCCTTGGGCCACCGTTCGGCTCGGGGGCCTCTCCTCCCTGCTCTCTCCCGGGCCAAGCCAGCACAGGGTGGGGGTGCGCGGAATGAGGATTGTCCTCATCGCGCTCCACAACCAACGCCGCACTAACCACTTGCGGGGTCGCCGCTAAGTAGAGTAACAAGGGTTCATTTGGCTCCGGGGCGACCAGAACTGGGGGAGAGCTGAGATACGCCTTCAACTGAGTGAGGGCACGTTCAGCTTCCTCCGTCCAAGTAAACGGCCCGGAGCGTTTGAGGAGCTTAAATAAGGGTAGCGCCTTCTCTCCCAGCCTCGATATGAACCGACTTAGGGCGGCCATGCAACCGGTGACGCATTGCACATCCCTAAGCTTGCTGGGGGGGCGCATCCGCTCTATAGCTCGTATCTTCTCGGGGTTGGCCTCGATGCCTCGGGCAGAGACCAAAAACCCGAGAAGCTTGCCCGCAGGTACACCGAACACGCACTTATCGGGGTTCAGTTTTATGCGGGCGGAGCGGAGACTCTCAAAAGTTTCCACTAGATCCGAGAGTAAGGTCTCTTGGTTGCGCGTCTTTACAACCAAGTCATCGACATAAGCCTCAACATTACGTCCTATTTGGCTACCCAAAGAAATTCGAGTAGTACGTTGAAAAGTAGGACCTGCATTCTTTAACCCGAAGGGCATTGTCGTATAACAATAAATTCCTATGGGGGTAATGAATGCAGTTTTTTCCTCATCCTCCCTAGCCATGCGAATCTGATGGTAACCAGAGTATGCATCTAGAAAACACAAAAGATCGCACCCCGCTGTGGAGTCGACAATCTGATCTATGCGAGGCAGGGGGTAAGGGTCCTTAGGACATGCCTTGTTAAGGTCGGTGTAGTCGATGCACATCCGAAGCTTGCCGTTCGCCTTGGGAACGACCACCGGGTTCGCCAGCCACTCCGGATGGATGACCTCGCGGATGAATCCGGCCTCCAGAAGTCGCGCCACCTCCTCGCGGATGAAGGCTTGACGTTCCGGGGCCTGCCGCCGTACTTTCTGCCGGACCGGCCTTGCGCCCGACCGCACGGCGACACGGTGCTCAATCACCTCCCTGGGGACTCCGGGCATATCCGCCGGTCTCCATGCGAAGACGTCAGCGTTTGCCCGCAGGAAAGAGACAAGCGCGTCTTCCTATTTGCCGTCCAGAAGACCACCGATCCGTGTGGTCTTGGACGGGCCGTCGCCCAGGGCAACCTCCTTGACCGGGACCTCGTCGCATGTGACTATCCGCTGCCTCGGGGCGGCGGGGGCAGAGGTGCCAAGCCTCTCGTCGCCTCCCTCGGGCTTGGACGCGGCGGTGAGGTGGTCCGCGCGCTGCTCCATACAAGCAAGCGCGACTTTGAGGTCGCCATGGACAGAGATGGGGCCACCGGGGCCCGGCATCTTCATCTGGAGGTAGGCGTAGTGGACTGCCGCCATGAACTTCACCAACGCGGGCCTCCCTAGGACCGCGTTGTAGGGCAGACTGAGGTCCGCCACATCAAAGTTCACCCGCTCCGTGCGGAAGTTGGCGGATCCACCGAAGGTGACCGGGAGGTCGATATGACCTAGCGGCCAAGTGTGACCCGGCGTCACACCGATAATCGGCTGGGACGGCCGGAGCACCATCCCCGGGGCCTTGATAGCGTCAAAGGCTGCGGGGGAAAGGATGTTGAGGGCTGCTCCCCCATCAATGAGGACATGCCCCAGCTTCACGTTGCAAACAGTGGGGGAAACCACCATTGCGATCTGTCCTCCCCGGGCAACGCATGGTGGGTGGTCGGTCTGGTCGAAGGTGAGGGCAACCTCCGACCACCGCGCCCGGCGCGTCGCCTCATGAGTAGGGGCCGCGGCCAGAAGCTCTCGCTTCATGGCCTTGAGGCTCCGGCGAGAAACGTGAGCACACGCTCCCCCATCGACAGTGGCAATGGTGGCCCCAGGCTCTTGGAAACCTAGGTCATCATCGCCATCATCGATGTCCTCGGCGGGGGCCTTCTGCTTGGCCTCACTTCGTCGATTGCCGGAAGGAACCGCCGGGGACTTGCCCTCTCGGCGCTCCTGCCTCCTCTCCTCCTCCCACTTCCTCGTCCGCTCAGCCAAACTTTTGACTGCGCGGCAGTCCGCGAGGTCGTGAAGGGAGGTGTTGTGGACGATGCACCACTTGCCGGTTGGGCGCTCCCTACTGGGAGTGCCGGCCTCCTTCTTTTTGTCGCTCGCAGGCCTCCCCTTTCGGGTGGCCCGCGAAGCGCCCTCGACGGCGAGGACATGACCCTCGTCGTCGGAATGGGCTGACCTCTTCTTCCTCCTCCTGTCACGCCGCCCTGTCCGAGCAGCGGATCCGGGGGCGGCCGAAGCTGCCACACCGGAACCGGAGGGGTTCCAGGTCCATGCCTCTTCCTTACGAGCCACTCGGTCCGCGAGCTGAAAAAGCTCCGCGGTAGTCTAGGGCTCTTTGGAGGCGATCTTTTCGAGCATGCGGTTGTGCCGCACACCCCCCCTGAACGCGTAGATCACCGCGTGTGCAGGGATGCATGGTATGGTGTTGCGGACTTGACAGAACCGCTGAATGTATGAGCGAAGTGACTCATCATCCCTTCGCTGGACTGCATGTAAGTCCGCTTCTTCACCTGGGCGCGGATATGTGCCTTGAAAGTTCATGGTGAACTGTTGGCACAAATCCTCCCAAGAGTGGACGGACGCGGGTGGCAAGTTCATTAGCCAACCCCGTGCCTGTCCCTTCAGGGCCATGGCAAAGAAATTCGCCATGACCCTGTCGTCACCCCCGGCGGCCTCGATCCCGGTCGTGTAGACCTGGAGAAACTCGGCGGGGTTGACGCTCCCGTCATATTTTTCGGCGATAGTGGGCCGGAACCTTAGGGGCCAACAGACGTTCCGAAGGCTCGCCACAAAGGCTCTACAGCCGACACCACCAACCGGGGGCACGGAGGGCTGATCCCCGCGTCCGTGTTGATGTGACACTCCGGACGAGGAGGCGCCCTCCGTTGCGTGGGCAGAACGCCGGCCATTACGCCGGCGCTCGATACTGATGCGGGCATCCGGCCCCCCACGCAGATCTTCCTGGGTCGGAGGCGCTAACGAAGGAGTGGCGGCTGAATGGCAAGCAACAGCCGCCGCTCGCCGCGCCCTCCGCCTTGACGACACGGAGCCGGTGGTAGCAGCGCCAGAGGTCTTGGTGGCGGAGGACCGCCCACCAGCACCTAGGCGCTGCCGTGCCGTCATGACCAAGTTGGCCACATCGTCCAGCCAACGTTGGGCTGGAGACTCCGGGTCAGGGACAATGGGCGGGTGATGTAGGAGCGCGCCCGCAGCTTGGAGCGCGCCCTGGGGCGTGCTGCCGTCGCCATAGACGAGGAGGCGACGCTCCCCATCTCGCCGCCCTTCCCCATCACCCGTGGATGTCGAAGTCGCGGATCCTTCGACCCTCTCGAGCGCCTCCTCCCCCCTAGGACTTTGGCGTGGAGGGGGCGGTGGAGTACGAGCTCGACGGCGTGGGTTCGGCTCCCCGTCGTCACCGCTAACACTCGGAGAGAGGTTGTGCGCCTTTGCTTGTTCGGCCATTGGGCTGAACAGGAAAAGCTTGGCGCACACGAAAGAATGCGAGAGCTTAGAAAAACACACGCAAAGCCCCCTACCTGGCGCGCCAGATGACGGAGCGTGGGGCTCCTCACAGGGAGACCGCGCAGGCCCCCCTTTGCCGGTTCGGCCGGGGGCCCTGGGTGAGATTCTAAGCTCCTAGTCTGTGTGTGGAAGGTTCGCGAGAATGGAAACACACAAGACACGGGCGATGTATACAGGTTCGGGCCGCTGAGAAGCGTAATACCCTACTCCTGTGTTTTTGTGGATCTATGTATGAAGAAGCTACAAAAGATCTGGAGAACCAGAGAGCTCTTACTCTCTCCCTCTCTGATCGTTCTGGATCCGAAAATCAATCACCCTTCTAAGTGGGCAAGGTCCTCCTTTTATACCTCAAGGGGATACCACATGCACCATCTCTCTCTTTTTTGTGGGGACTTATCCTATCTTTTCATAAACAGACGGAGACTTGTATGGTTGCCATCCGAATGACCTTTTGATGGGACAGCCCATACCTACCTCCACTTCCGCCGGAAGCAGGCGCGACATGGGAACATGGCTGTCTGCTGACGACATGATCAGTGTCAGACCGGTCACAAATCGGTCATTCTTGTCCACCACGCGTCAGTTTATCAATCTGCATGTTCGCCCCTCTTCATACAATGTCTTGCTTGTAATGGTTAGGATGAAGCCTGGTATATATCTGACCGGGACCAACGTGCCATCTCCAGGAGCTAACACGCCGGCTCCGGCTAGGGACGAGTGCTTGGAGGCTCTCATCCTGACGGGATGGGGCGAGGCGTGCGTCAGACCGCCTGTCGCCACCTAACCCACGATCTGATCGGTCTGTGACTAGTCACAGACCGGATAAACGAGCGCGCTGCACTGCGTTACATGCGGCGTGACGCGCTCGTCCAAACCGCAATAAATGTGGTTAGGTGAGCCCCGCTATGCTCACCTACCCCATATACGCGGCGCAAAACCCACAAGGGGTCGGGGCGCCTCGGCCCTCGGGGCCGAGACGGGAGCGGTCCGACCCCTCGGGGAGACAAAGAGAAGGGCGGCCGTATCACCCTCGGGCCCGACCCCCCCCCCCCCCCGAGGGGGTTAGGCCACGTGGGTGATCGTGTCTGCCTCAAGTCTCTAAGTCATGATACTCCCGGTCCCATGTCACGGACATCGCCTATATTAACAAAGGTGCAGCCCCAAGAGGGGTTCAACGCTTCCCATCTATTTTCTTCATAGTCTCATCTTGTCGAGTCAAGACTCACCACTATATATGTGTCTTGGCTTGATCATTGACAAAAATGAGAAATAAGCCTAGCATATTTCTTAGTACAAAGATCTAGTGCTATTTTTTCTTGTCGTTGAAGCTCTAAAGCATGAGGATTATATATGGAGACAGAAACTGAAAATGAACGGGTACTTCATAAATACATGAATTACATTTGCACCGCCCAAACCTTGACAACAGATGGATGCAAACTAATCCTGCAAATTATATCTATATTTCTGCTTGACACTCTGCTGCGAATCCGAAAACCTCTGAATCTCATGTCCCAATCCCACTAAAGATGGGGAGCTGATCCATTTTTACCTCAGGGCAAAAGATGGTGTGTCTATTTCAACAGCCCTGTGGTCATTAAGCTTTGCTGCAGGTAACTTTGGTTGGAAGAGTTACTTTTCTTGGAAAATTTGATACTATTTGGCTTCCATTCCATGTTTCTTAACAAAAGAAAATTTAGTTACGATTGGAAATAACCCTTTTGATATCTTATTCTTCATCCAGATATATACAAAGTTAGGAAACAGTAGTTACTTGACTTTGCAAAAGGCATTCTGCACCGAGCTATATAGAAGCAAGTTCATTACATTTTCAGTTACTTGAACTCTTAAGACTACATCTTGTTCTTGTGAAGACTGTGAGTACACCATTGCTCTGTTTTTTTTCTTTTTCCAGCCGGTTCTCTGTTTCCATTCATGTTGTTTTACCTTGAGTCATGTTCAACATTATGACACATCCATTTTAAAAATTCATCAGCCACAGAAGGCAGATTTGCCTCACCAAACTCTAGCCTCCTAATAAACAAGCTCACAAGGATACCATCCCAGATCTCCAGTGGATGAATATAATTAGCTTTGATAAATGGTACTCCCTCCGTTTCATAATATAAGACTTTCTAGCATTATCCACATTCATATATATGTTAATGAATCTAGACACACATATATATATATCTAGATTCATTAACATTTATATGAATATAGTCAATGCTAGAATGACTTACATTATGAAACGGAGAAAGTAGCCCTAAATATATATACCCCTTTGAGAATATTTTCTAGCTTCTTACTGGGAGTGACTTTAAAGTGTTCTTTTTCATGTTCTCATTTGTACGAATTAAAATCAGACATCAGGGGTTTCATAATTTCATTAGACAAAGCCGAATACCACAAATTTAATTAGACTCCTATGGATTGGTTGGACAACTTAAAAACAAAGTTCTCGTGTGCAATGTAGATCTTGGATGTCGATGGTTTTATCTATGAGAACTAATTTCCTGAGTTTCTTCCAACAATTATTGTTGTTGTAAAACGTTGGTCGATTCTACTGAATATTATTATTCTGGTGATACAACATGATAGTTCACGGATTAGATCTAAGACGCCGGCCCGTAGGCCTTGTGTTATGAAAATAGATGCACAACGGAGACACGAATTTTTACGTGAAAAACCCTTGCGGGAAAAAACCACGGGCACCAATGATCACTATAGAGGAGTTGGATACATACGTAGGGGATACATTGGGCTGTCACATTCTTCCCGTGCGGTTTACAAGGGATATATATAGGTGAAATTTAGGAGTCCTGGTAGGCAAAGACACGAAGTCCTTGTATGAAACTAATACTATAATGCAGAGTCCTATTAGAAAACTAATCAGACACCTTGGTGCGGTCTCCAAAGGTTGAATTAATTTCCATCGTGGTCTAGAACCAACAAACATTCAAACTTTACTGTACACCAGATCCATATTTGTAGTCTCCAGTCCATCAATTTACATCAACCCCTAGCCCCCGAACTGCAATCGAACCACACAAAATTTAAGCCCCAAAATCTCATCTTTACGGTTATTTATTCTTCCTGTGACCCCAAGATAAAAAAAAAATTGGATTCCAAGAACTGAGCTACGGACCTTTGGCTACTCACAGCACACGGTTAAATCCATATGTCAGCCGCTACTCACAGCACACGGTTAAATCCATATGTCAGCTAATTTGTGTGAGGCTCATCATATTACTTATTCTCCCCTTTGGTTTAGAACTCGTGAACAAGTGTGAGAACTATCTCATTATATGCATGACAACACAATGAAAATAGTATGACATTGTTGGCATCTCAATGACATATATTATTTCCCTGTATAAATAGGAGATGGCTCTTCTTCGAGTTATTCTTACCGATTCCAATATGTGTATTCAACCAATTGATTGCGAAATCTGTGTATTCAACTAGTTGATTGAAAGTTATTGATGGCAATGAGATATTACAGCAAACCAGGAGGATGAAGAAGCCTATCCATGACTAGGAAAGAGGAAAAAAACACAACCGATGTCCGAGACTGACTTGGTGGTGTGCCACTCCCACTCCGACTCTGACAGGGTCCGACTCCGACATGGTCTCTGACTCCGATCCTAATCAGGCGGCGAGTAAGCCAATATAATGATCCAACATCGTAATTTTCCGTCTGCCCCAAATAGCATCCTCTTGCTAGCGAGCGAGTTTGTTGCCACCAGATCAGGATCGATGATGGGCGTGGAGGTCTCCGTCTCCCTAGGAAGAAGAGAAAGGTGGACTACTCCCCGCCTTTCTTGTAGAGGAGACGGAGAAGGATAGCTTGACACCGGCCATGTCACCGAGAAGGAGCGATCTGTGATAAGGAGCATGGCCGAGAAGGAGCAATATGTGATAAGGAGCGATTTGTGGAGGATGACACACACGACGTTTGGGAGAAGAGGATGGATTGAAGAATATTTATAGCTTACTCGCCGCCGGATCGGAGTCGGAGTCGCGGGTGGTGCGCGACCGAGGCCGTGTCGGAATTGGAGATGAAAGTGCGATGCGAGCGCACAGACTAACGCAGCCTAAACGACACACAATGGGGCAGCGGAGGGGTAGACGCCTACACTACTGCAGAGGACGGAAGTGACATGGAATGAAGAAATTTATAGTTTGATGTCGAAAAAATTAGTGGAAAATCATTTTTTTTCAAGCGGGACTGTAAAGTCTTGAAGAGCTGCAAACCGGATAGAAAATATTTCCATTTTTTACGATTTTATTTTTTTCCAATAAGCGATCCCACCTCCCCTTTTCCGTTCCTACATCTGCTTTTTCGGTTTTCCTTCTACGTCCCCTCCGTTTCTGTTCCCTATCTCGTTCCGTTATTCGAATGAAACAATTGTCGTTGTAAAACCCATTTATATCCCTGTCACTAGTGGAGAAACCATCTTTCCTCCCGGTTCTCTCCACCTTTCCTCTCGGTTCGTAACCCCTTTAATCCCGGTTATCCAACCGGGACTACGAATCTGGAACTAAAGATCGCTATCTTTAGTGCCGGGTGAAATAACCGGGACAAAAGAGGAGATAACAGCAGTCTAGATGCCCCTTCTTTTTTTTCTTTTTTTTTCTCCCGAATCAAGTGAGATGTGTATCCCCAAATTAAACCCCAAATCCCAAATAAAGGTAACATCCCAAATCTGCATCACAAATCTTTAAAATTACCTATACACACAAATTAAATACATCACAAATCCTAAAAAAAAATTGCACACAAATCATATTACATCACAAGTTCTATAAAATTCATCGCAAATACATCACACACAAATCAATACATCACAGGATCATGCAATAAATCACTAATTCTATAAAAAAAATCACAGAGACGCCGGCCGGCCGCTGCCGCCTCCTCTCCACGCCGGCCGGCCGCCGCCGCGCCGCCCGCCGCCTCTGCGCCTCCGCACCGCCGTGCTCTCCGCGCCGGCCGACGCCCCGCCGCGCGCCCCTCCACGCCGCTGCACCAGCCCGCTCTCGCTATCGCTCAATCTAGATAGAGATAAGGCAGCGCTCTCGCTCGATCTATCCAAAAAGAAAGAGATAAGGCATGAAAGAGGAAGGGAGTTAGAGAGGAAAAAAAGAGATAGAGAGAGTTTGTTGTGTGGACAATAAAAGAGGATAAGTAATAGGGATTATATAGTACGTGTTAGATTTTTATTCCCGGTTAGTAATACCAACCGGGACTAAAGACTAACTTTTAGTCCCGGTTGGTGTTACAAACCGGGACTAAAGATCCTAGGCGCCTGACACGGTCTGACATGGAACCAACCATCTTTAGTCCCGATTGGTGTTCTTTAGGGAATAAAGATCATCTAGTCCTGTTGTTCTTATAAACCGGGACTAAAAATCGTTTTTACTCCCAGTTTTTAATGGAACCGGGACTACTGTGGATTTGGGTCGATCGAGCAAAGATGGTTTCTCCACCAGTGTGTGTTCCATTATCTGAGTATAAAATAATTATCCTAGTAAAATGCAAGCTAGTTACCCTAGTTTTGTCTCTATTTCTGCCCATCATTTCGTTGTATTATGAGAGTAAAAAACAATTATCATGATAAAATTTCAAGCTATTTACTAAGTCTAATAATTGCCACTACGGTAAATTTTATTCACATTTTCATTTGTAAGAGTAATCTATTTACTCCCATTTTATTGGGACAGAACACTGAGTAATCTATTTAATCCATTTTTTATTGAGACAGAACAATGAGTAATCTATTTACTTCATTTATTTTGGAGAACAATTACATGATGCAATGCAGAACACTTCATTCTTGTGGTCACTTCCGTGAGTAAAACAATTACACAATGCGGCTAGTCGGTCCTCATAGATGTACTCCTGTGCCCAGTGCCCACAGCCAGCGGAACGCGGCGGCATTGGATGATTGGAGACGCATCATGTATGCAAGGGCGCGGTAGAGGAGCCAGGGCAGCAGCTGCCCATCGGAGGGTGGAGGAACCACTGGGGACTAGATCCAAGGCGGCGTGGTCGATGAATGGAGGTGAGCAATGCGCTGACGATGACGACGGGGGCCGCAATGGATCTCGGCAGCACCTCCTGGAGCATGTTCGTCGGCCATCACCGCTACACAATCCGCTCCAGTTGCCGCACTAATTGCTCGATCCATCAAAGGCGTTGAGGAAGGCAGATAGGACTGGAGTCCCCTGCACTGCTGGCGAGGGTGATGCGAACCTCACTATCAGGGGCTGGGCGGATCTATAGGGTGGTTCAAAAAAGTTGCGATTAACCCTATTGTATATCGGAATTTAGGAAGAAAAAACACTGGAATCGGAAAGCGAAGAGTCCGCCACTCATCACGGCATCGCTACGCGCGGATCTCGATCTCCTCGTCAACTCCTCATTTTTTGCAAAGCGGCATCGCATCACGACGCGACGGCTTGATTGACCGGCTCCGCGTCCGCGACAGTTCACAGACGCGACTCCGCGAACGCCGAATACGCCGCCGCTTACATTCGCAACGGAGGAAGGAGGAGAGAGGACCATGACCGACGGCTTGACTGACTCCGCGAGCCCGCGAGCACCGACCGCCGCCGCCGCTGCGCCGGCAGCCGGCTACTCTCCCGCCGCTCTCCGCTGTCCGTGTCGCGTGCCTGGCCGGCCTGCATGCGTCTCCGACTCCTGATGGGGATCAGGATGTACATCGCGTACGTGCGGACGAGGGACGACAAGCTGCGGTAGGGTCGCGCTCGCGCGCAGATGGGCGCTAGGAGGCCGAGATGAAGGCGCTCTCGGCGCTTCTAGACGTCGACCGCCGCCGGCAACGGCAAAGAGGTATTTATAACTCTTTGATTTTTCACGCTTTATTGGAGATGAACAGGTGTCATGTTTAGGTGCTGATCGCCTGATTCCTGTGCTGCATCCAACTTTTGTGCCTTTCTTGTCATTCATTGTTAGGCGCAGTTTAGTTTAGCTCATATGGTTCAACCTTTTTTAAGCATATAAGCTTCTTTTAAATCAAAATTTTGCTTAATCACTAATTTTATATGTTTTAAGATGGATTATTAATAAATGATGGTGTCTATTCTATTATCTACTGTATATAATAGCATTGTTAGATTTACGGTGTTTAGAAAAAAAATTTAGATTGGATCACCCATATATTAAATCCTAGATACGCCACTGCTCACCATCACCCATTGCCTCGAGTGCGTCGATGCATGTCGTCCTAAGCACCACGACGCTTGTCGGGAAGAGGGATTCGATACCATCGCCGCTAGAAGCGGCTCATCCCCACCGATCCACCCTCTGCCGGCAAGGGTGACCCTCACCTGCCACCTCGAGCGCGTCGACGCCCGCTGAGAGGAAGGACTAGATGCTACCGTTGCCGGAACGCCTCCTCCCTCGATGCCTCCACTGTAAACCGGTTGCTTCCTCGATGGCGATCGGATGACCTCCTTCGTCGATGGCTGCCGCCGGCAAATTCACGCATGGTAGAGACTGAAACGGCCTCCTCTCACTCTATCCGGATAAAGCGGATTGGGGAACGGTCAAACGAGTGGTGGGTGGTTTCTGTGTGGTAAAAAACCATATAAATAGGAAGATTCATGATGGTAAAAAAAATTACTCCCCCCGTATTTTAATGTATGACGTCGTTTATTTTTTAATAACTTTTGACCATTCGTCTTATTCAAAAATTTTGTGCAAATACAAAAATATTTATGCCATACTTAAAGAATATTTGATGATAAATTAAGTGACAATAAAATAAATAATAATTACATAACTTTTTGAATAAGACGAATGGTCAAACGTTGATAAAAAGTCAACGGCGTTATATATTAAAAATACGGAATGAGTACAACTTTAATTTGTTTATTGTCCTGCTGAATGGGCTTCATGTACGTGGGAGCACTTTCTCTGGTAGTGGCACGTTGCAACGCGATGAGTGTTGGATAGTAGTTCTCAAATATAGTGTAAATTTTAGCACAAAACAAACATATTATCAAAATGTATTTAATGTTAGATTTAATGAAACCAAATTAATATTTTCAATGTTGCTAATTTTTTTATAAATTTAATCAAACTTAATAAAGTTTGAAAAAAATCAAACGATTAGTAAAACAGATGGAGAGTATAAAAAATTTCTCCGTTCCTACTCGATGTGTCGATCCCATCCAGGACTTACCAACTGGCTAGTGGCCACTACGAGGAGTGAGCAAGCAGAACAAATTAAGCAGGCCCAAAACTGTAGAGTAGCTGGTTAGCCAGCGCTCGGATCACATTTTCATCTCCGATTCCGACACGGCCTCGGTCGCGCACCAGCCCCGACTCCGACCCTGACTCTGATCCGGCGGCAAATAAACTATATATTGTTCAATCCATCCTCTTCTCGTCCACAAATTAGCTCCCTCTCGTGATTTATGACAAAGTAGCTACTTCTCTATGGCCGGCGCAGGGTTGACGTTATCGTTGGTAACCGCGCAGTTACCGCGGTTACCGGGTTTACCGTAGATACGGTAATATAAATACCGTGGTAACCTTCTTAAATTCAGATAAATAAAAAAAATAATTTGAATTTTTGATAAATTTTGCATGGTTTTTCACGGTTACCGCGCGGTAACCGTGCTTACCACCGGGACACGGTAACCCCGGCCCTGGCGGTTTGGGGAACCCTGGGCCGGCGAGGTATCCGTCTCCGTCTCCTCTACCAATAAGAGAAAGGCGGACTCCGCCGTTGACGGAGGACCAGAGGAGGAGCATCCTCCGGCGAAGAAGATGTGGCTGCTGCCACAGGAGGAGGTGGACTGGATCCTTGCCGAATCCAACGAACCCGTCTCCACCGAGTTCCATGAGCTCAAGCGCGCCAGCCCGTCGCTGGTGCCCTTGCCGGAGGAGGAGAAGGACGAGGGCGGAGGTGGCGGAGGTGTTCAGGCTGTACGACGAAGCACGGGAGGAGGTGATGGGACACTGGGATCATCTTTCAGATAGCGACGACGACGACGAAGATTGGAAGCTTTTCATTACGGCAATTAGGAGGACCTTCATCTGAATCGAATCTCAAAACCCATCATCACAGTTTCTCTTATCTTATTATTTAGTATCTTGTAAGAACAATTCAATGTACGGATGCATCTATTCACAGAAATTTTAAGTGTGTTGTGTTGATCGACCATCATTCTTTATTGTTAATTATTGGTTTACACGGTTGTGCGCTCTGTTCTTGGTGTTCAGCCCCTTTCGTTGCAGGAAGCCTCGTACAATTCAGAGCTATGTAAAAGCAAAGAGCTTTGTTACGGTCCACCAAATAAAATCCAGCCGTTGAATTAGCGGGGGTACGATTGTAAACGAACCGAAGCGGGGCGGAGAGAAGACCCGCGACACGAGCAGTTGCGTATAGACGCCGTAATCTCCTCCTCGTCCTCAAGCGCCCGCGCCGACACCATGAGTCCATGATCTCCAAGCCCTCATCCGCCACAGTCTCTGCCATCGCTGGACCGCCGCAAAAATCTCGATACGATGCCGGCGGCTTGCCTGCTCCTGCTGGGCTGCATGCAGGCTGCTCCCATCCGCGATATCCCAAACAAAATGTTATGCAAGGGCTCCTGAGCTCCTCTAGAAAAATGTTTTATCCGTTGATATTAGCATTTGGCTTATGGAGAGATAATCGGCAGTTAACATCGCATAGTCTCGTACAGAGCCACAGAGGAATCAAACCACATAATTGCACTGAGTCTGGAATTTATTAAAAATTTCAGCATAACTCCCCTGTATTCACCTACATCCAACAGTCACAAAAATGTTGATCGCAGTAAACATTCGCATGCATATCGTCACATTTTTAAAGTATGGAGAATTTGACACAAAAAAAGAGCTACGACAAACAGCTTCACATCACATAACACTTTACATATACCCATAGGCACAGCTAGCCTCCTAACAAACAACTTGACTTGAATCCTGCCAAATGCAGCTTCAGCGTTCCACTATGAGGCCACATTTTGACGGATTTTGATCCAAACGAGGCTTCAATCGTTGTCAATAAAATGGGATTTTCGATTAGAGTTGATTTTATGATCCTCAGTGCCTGCATGACAGAAGAACGACAAACGCAATAAAATGTGTGCAAAGGAAGTGCAAAGACAGTTATAAAGCTGACAAATTCTTGGGCATGATCTTACCAACTCCTTTTCAGTCCTTGTAAGTTGAGTACGAACTACCATATTTCTTTCATGCAAAGCTCTATCAGCACACAGTGATATGTAAAGATGAAGATAAACAAGATTTTTAACATCTAGAGTTCTTGCTAAATAAACTAAGCTTCAGTTGTCTCTAATTTTTAAGATATATCCGTATACATTCAATTATAATTCAACCCTGTCTCAGGTCGCGGTCTTGGGATAAGTTCACTAACCTTGGCCGGATGAAGCTGGACTCGCAGCTCATGCTGACATTGGCTTCGTTCCAGATGGGTTGAGAGTGGATCAGAGAGGAGGAGGAAGCATCAGCGCCATCGGGAGCATACCAGGGAGGGCGGTCGGCCGAAGTCGCTGCCGTCGCCCAACAGCCGCCTTCTCTGTACTAGTGCCGGGGAGGAGAGAGGATGCTGGGAAGTAGTCGCGCAGGCGTCCCAACATATCAGCCCACGTCCTCCGATGTCGCCGCCGCGTCACCGTGGCCGCCTCTTCTTCATCGTGCTCGTAGCCAGCCTGCCCACGAGCTCAAGGAGATCTTCCCGTTCCCGTCGCCGCCCTGAGCTATATCTGGCGCCCCGAAGTCGGAGGCGGCCGGATCTGGCCTGGAAGCCGGAAAGGGAAGTTGAGTTGGGATGGGGTAGGGTGGTGACGGCAGGTTGCTGCGAGGGAGGCGGAGGTGTCTGCCGATCTGGCCGGCGAGATTGGTCGCGCCGCCGCCATGGAGGACGTGCCGGAGGGGGATCGGGAGGAGCGGCGTTGGGAGGAGCCTGCGGTACAGGAGTCAGGGAATACTCCTGAGACAACTGAATGCTTCTTCAAGCCAATGTGCATTACCACACCGGCCACTCTTGTTGACATCTCCTGCTAGCGAGCCTTCGTGTTGTCCTAAGCAACGTTAGCTCGATCACTTTGTTAGCGATTGAGCATGTTTAATTACTTAATTATATGCTATCACTGTATAATTTTTGCCTTTGAAGTGCCCACGCATGCGTTAGCTTTTTCTTTATCTGGTCCGGCTGCCTCTAAAACAGATATATAGCTTGTTGTTGGATCAATCAATTTGTTGTTATATATAGGTATGTCGATTCATTTTAATAGCGCTGTACATCGTATCAACGTAATATGGTTCTAGATAAATTATACTTATATATTTCAATAATCCAGCCAATTGTGTCAATTACAAAGACAGGACAAACAATATGGATAGATACAATACGTTCTTGCATCAACCAGGCAAACAAAACGATACAAACCAAGTATATATCCGGACACTAGATAAGTTCTTATACATACGAAGAAACATCCACAATCTAAAAAAGCTCACTTAAATATATAAGCTAGTTGCACTGTGCTTCTTGAAACTTTTCTTGGCACTCAACTACTTGTGTTGAACTTCCTGAAAACGTAAATCAAACGAAAATGTTAGTTTTACCAAGATAAAGTAAGGCAGCTAGCTGATTCTCACAGAGTTACACTGTTTGTTCTGTTGAGTCACTAGCTTGGCCTCCGCCATCTTCTGTGTGGGCACTCCTATATATCTCCATGCTCTATACTGCAACCTTTTTCTGAGTATACCCAATAGTCAAATACTTCATTGTATTGATATTTTGGAGAACTTGACGTTTAAATACAAAAAACTGAGCGCAAAATGAAGTTGAAGAAATAGGGTAGACTAAAATCATTTCTCGTATTCTCAAATCTTTATACTTTGCGTGCTGACCATGAGGCATCCATATAACAAATCACTGAGATAATTAGTAGTCATGCACCTCTGGTAGTTTGTATTTTCATAAACGCTTTCCTGTGCTAGACATTTCACAAAAGTTAGTAACATTACTATTAGATTCATCTTCCATGTTGTACATATGAAAAGGAAGTATATAGCATAAGAGTCGAGTAATTATAAAACTGAATATATCATCAGTTCCATTTATGCATGGAAGTAGTATCGACTGTATGGACTGCTGTTGTAGGACTAGCACATATATAAGGACTTTGAAAGACACTAGGAACTAGATCCAATCAAACATTTTAGTAATGTGATGGTCAGGTTAATATATATATACTCAATACAAAAGGCATGAATTAATGAACCTTCGGGAACACCTTAGGTCTGAATCCCTCATGTTCCTCTGCAGCTAGAAATGGGATGTGTTTCATGTGATAATCCTGATATCAAAATTCAGTATGATAGAGCTTATTTCTGTGCTCTACAGAAATTAGTGACCAGCATATTGGAGATCAGTCCATCAACAAACGAATATCAGAAGGCAGGAAAAATGCATGATGTCACCTGCATCTTGGCAAAGAGTACTATGAACAGGATGTCAGGATTAACTTCAATAAGTGAGATTAAGGTGCACTTGGAAAGGATTTTATGCCTTTTCAGATCTCAACGGAACCATGGCACCACAAACAACAATAGTAAATCTATCAGGATGAAACAATCTTATTGCTGAAACAATCGACCACATAAAAAACCTGACTAGGGTCCGTATAGAGGACGTCGCTGTCGAGCGGTCACTGGTGGCGGCGGCCTCCGGCGCAAGGAGGCAAATGACAGCGGTGCGCCGCCTGCGGTGACGCGCAGCAACTATCTGGGGTGGAAGCGGACGGCGGAGGCGATGAGAGCAGGTTCCGCCACTGGATTGGAGGAGGAGGGCAGCGGCAGCGGACGGGAGGTGCCGCGCCGCCGCCGAGAGGGTCGAGACGAGATGGATTCTCTTCTCGATTTATTTTCGATTTATTTTCCCCTTTTTGATTTTCTTCAAATGATAACGACCGAATGTTGAACGAGGCTAACAGGATGCTGGACGTCGTTCAATACAGCATCTAGGTCTGGACATTATTACGAAGAGCGTCCATTCCTGGACGCTATAGCGCTTAGCGTCCATCCTACAATTCAAATTTCCCTCTATCATTTACTAGATATTTAATTAATAGGTTGTTAATTATTATATATAAAAAAATGGGCAGGGAATACGGACCATGCGAAATCCCAATTTTGCCCTTCCGCTTCTTCAACGCATGCGGATGGGATTTCTGTACCTCGCGGTACCGAGGATCGATAGCCGTTGGATCTACCTATATGGATGGTTCAGATTACATGTACCGGGAGGTACCAAAATAAAAGTTTGGATGGACGGTAAAAAAACTCAAAAGCAAAAGTCCAATCTTTGACTAATCGTTGTTAAGGCTGTGAATGGGATTAGGACTGATGGAATTAAGCATTTTCCTAAACTGTGCTGTTCTAAAACCTGAATTTGTAAGCAGAGCGAGCTGAGTATGTCACCGAGCGATTGCATCATGAATGGTGTTCTTGCGGTAACAGATGAACAAAATTTATTTTTGCCTTCTGTACATGCTACCCAGCCAATCTTTGAATTAAATCTCAAATTACTTGCCTCTTGCTTCCGTATAGCAAGAATCCTCTGTATTTTTGTGCTTATGATGTGATAGATATAACTGCAGAGTCATTTGGTGTTGTATATATGATTTCTGACAAAAATAAAAACTCTCTGTTTGTGTCCTAAATTTGGACCCGTTTATCTCCGGAGTATTCCTAAAGTAAAGAAGGGTAATGGGCCGGTTGATGGTCTTTTTCACGGGAGGACGAATGTTAGACTTTGTGTTTTTTGGTGTAGTGAGAGACGCGGATAAGTCCGACACGGCGTCGGTCGCTCGCCGTTCCAACTCCGACTCCTCCCAGGACCCAGGCAGCCTATATAATTATTCTTGTAGAATCCATTATCCCCTCCCAAATCGTGTGATTTCCATCTGTCGTCCGCAAATCGATCTCTCTCGCAAGCAACTTTGTTGCGGGCAGATCACATCGCCCATCTCTCTTGCAAGCCGCCAGATCCGATCACATCGATCGCTCTCTCGGGCTTGATGGCCGGCGTCGAGGTTTCTGTTTCCGTCTCCCCTACCAAGAAGAGAAAAGGGGAGTGTTCCGCCCTGGACGGAGGAGAGGACGATGCTCTTGCTCCTCCAGCAAAGAAGAAGAAGATGTGGCTGCTGCCGCAGGAGGAGGTGGACTGGATCCTCGCCCAGTCGAACGAGCCCGTCCCCACCGAGTTCCGGGAGCTGAAGCGCGCCAACCCTTCGCTGGTGCCCTCGCCGGAGGAGGAGGAGGACGAGTCCACCATGCTTCTTTACGCGTGCGTCCGCAACTGCTAGGAGGAGGAGGCCAAGTTCGCCAAGTTCCAGGCTTGGGTTCGCGGCGAGTACGCTCGGAAAGGATTCGTGGAGGTGGACTACGACTACTTCGGCGAGAGGGCGGAGGTGTTCAGGCTGAACGACGAGGCACGGGAGGAGGTGATGGGACACTGGGATCATCCTTCCGACACCGACGATGATGACGACGAAGACTGGAAGCTTTTCATTAGCGCAATTAGGAGGACCTTCGTCTGAATCGAATATCAAACCCATCATCATCACTGTTTCTCTTATCTTATTATTTATCTTGTAAGAACAATTTGATTTACGGATGCAACAGTTTACCTATGTATGATATCTATTCACAGAAATTTAAGTGTGTTGTGTTGATCGACATCATTTTTTATTGTTAGTTATTGGTTTACACGCTTGTGCGCTCTTTGTTCTTGGTGTTCAGCCTTTTTTTCCTTTTGTTGCTAGAAGCCTCGTACAATTCAGAGCTATGTAAAAGCAAAAGTCCAATCTTTGACTAATCGTTTTTAAGGCTGTGAATGGGATTAGGACTGATTGGATTAAGCATTTTCCTCCTTCAACTTCAATTTTGTAAGCATAACGAGCTTCATGAATGTCGCCGAGCAGATCTTCAGCAGTGTCTTCAACTCTTAGCGATTGCTTCATGAATGGTGGTGTTCTTGCGGCAACAGATGAACAAAATTCATTTTTGCCTTCTGTACATGCTATCCAACCAATCTTCGAATTAAATCTCAAATTACTTGCCTCTTGCTTCCGTATAGCAAGAATCCTATGTATTTATGTGCTTGTGATGCGATAGATATAACTGCATTGACAAGAGAATAAGGAGTCATTGGTTTTGTATATATGATTTCTGACAAAAAAAAAAACTTTTGTTTGTATCCTAAATTTGGACCCGTTTATCTTAACAGTATTTCTTGGAATTTTCTTGTGACAGCGAGGATGACGAAGTTTGGAAGCTTATCAAGAGGAGAGCAGAACATGGGTGTAAAGATGAGATTTTGGGGCTCATTTTTTTTGTGCTTCAGATTCTTTGTAATTGTACCAATGGCAGTTCCGGGCTGATGTAAATTGGTTTAGCGCAGATATGCTTTCCAATTTTAAAGACTGCATGTGCTTCTGAAGATTGCTGAATATTGATTTGTGGAGACATTTCTGTTTTGTCTACAGTTGCTGAAAATTTATCTGTTGTCGCCAAGAAGATACTGCATTGGTAAAATGTATATGGAGGATCAGAATTATTCAGAATCACCTCTGCACTGCCATAATTTAAGCTGAGGACCGTTTTTCATTAATATGCAATGTTTGCATTAGGTACATGAACATCGTACTAGAAACTTGCACAACAACATCGAGTCTATATTGATATTGTGTATGTCATCTTCAGGAATAAGTGACTTAGCATTCTCTATCCATGCTTTGTTTGTCTCATCTTGTCTAGTCAAGACTTACGGCTATATGTGTCTTGGCTTGATCATTGACGAAAATGAGAAAGAAGCCTAGTATATTTCTTAGTACAAAGATCTAGTGCTAATTTTTCTTATCGTTGAAGCTCTAAAGCATGAGGATTATATATGGAGATAACAGAAACTGAAAATGAACATCATGTACTTCATAAATACATGGATTACATTTGCACCGCCCAAACCTTGACAACAGATGGATGCAAACTAATCCTGCGAATCCCTTCTTCCTATATAGTTGGTACCCACTAGAGGAGTTATTGCTATAAAGTTTACACCACATTGCGCCACGTCATCTTTTTTTCCTGAGCCATTGGATTGTCTGCAGGTCTCCAGATGGACGTTAGATCGACATTGAACAGTATTGGGCCAGCCCATGCTACTCATGGGCCTCTGTTACGTTACACCTTTTTCCAATTGGCCCAGCTATGCCAACCCTATCCACTCCTCCCACAGAACAACGCTCATCCAAAGAAATGGAAAAAAAATCGCTAGAAACATGTCGTGTGGCCGGTGACTGGGAACGGCGGCGCCGCTCCTGTTGTGGTTTGCTAGCGATGGCTGGAGGCGGCACTCGCTCGGTGCCGGTGGCTGCCACATGTGCTCCGGGCCGCCGCACCCCTTCTCACTTGTGTCTCCTTCTGCGTCTCATCTATCAGCTAGGGTTCCGCGGTGTGGTCATCCGGGTGGCTGAGGAGAACGGCGGCGCAGCTTGCGCGTGGCCGTCTTCCGCAGGCTGGCTCCGCACTTCCTCTCGCTGTGCTAGCAGCAGATGGGCCCATCTGCCGATTCAGAGGGCGGTGTACTGTTGGCCTGCGCCCTGCACGTCTCAGGAGGGCCACGGGTTCGCCACCATGAATTCGTCGGTTCAGATTAGCATTTCAGGCAAGAATCGTGGAACCCTTGGTTGCTATTGTCTATTCTCCTTTCCTTTTCCTTTTCCTTCTCTTAAATTTGAGCGATTGTAGAAAAAACGGCCGCAATCAATTAGGCCACCAGGTGGCTAGCTAAATGCATGGTAAATTCAATTTATTGCCTTCATGAGCCTCTTAAGATCCCTTCTGCAACCATAATAAACCATAGTTCCCTTTCACCGTTCTCCCAGCTCATCCAACCAAGCAGCCATATCCTCCGACTGCACCCACCAGATGGTTGGAATTGAACTATGAAAGGTTATTTTAGTTTTTAGTTCTGCAATTGTATTTCAGTTCTGTGCATGTATGTCAATTGCTTCTATTTTACTTATTGACCAGAGGTTGCAAATTTACTCTCCGCAGGACCAAGGCGAAAGTTTTTCATGAATTGGTGTTTATCTATTTAGTAGATTCTGGATATCAGTTCCATTACTCAGGGGCAAATCTGAGGATTTTCATAGCACCGGATAAAATTATCGCACCATTGGATAAGCTTCCAAGCAAAGAATTTGACTAAGAGCAAATAACCTTTATCGGTATTTGTTTTTCTTACCTCGTCATATGTTGTTCATGTTGTCTGTGCCCCACCTTTTCTAACATATGTTTCCTGTTTCACATGCTTACAGTACTCTTTCCATTCCCTACATATTTGTACATATTCAAACATGTTGTTATTCTTCTTCAGGAACTGTAACCCACAATCCAGCCACACCACCTACCTGCAAGCAATTTCCGTCGTTACTGCATCCAAATCGTCAACCGTTTATGTTTCTGTCCAAGGGAAATCAGCCGCCGACGACCTATCCAATTTCAAGTCAACTCAAACTCACACTATTTTCTACATGAATAAAATCCCTCACATAGATGTCTTCTTCATAGAACAAGACTTCAAAAATAATGAGATTTAGTATTCCTGACATTGCGTGTTAGTTATTTCTACCATACATTACTACTACCTCACTACAATTTGCTGCAATCTAATGAAGATATATAATTTACTTTATATATATATATATATATATATATATATATATATATATATGTATACATTCTTCTCAACTTATGTAATCCAATCCTCAGGTTAATGGTCCTAGACTAAGAATTGCTTGATATATCCTGTACAGCTAACAAATAATACTCACTGCAAGTTTTATGATATGCCCGCAGCGACACGCGGGGTATCAACTAGTTATATCTATATTTCTGCCTGACACTCTGCTGCGAATCTGAAAACCTCTGAATCTCATGTCCGAATCCCACTAAAGATGGGGAGCTCCATTTTTGCCTCAGGGTAGAAGATGTTGTCTATTTCAACAGCCCTGTGGTCATATTAAGCTTTGCTGCAGGTAACTTTGGTTGGAAGAGTTACTTTTCTTGGAAAATTTGATACTATTTGGCTTCCATTCCATGTTTCTTAACAAAAGAAAATTTAGTTACGATTGGAAATAACCCTTTTGATATCATCTTATTCTCCATCCAGAGATGTACAAAGTTAGGAAACGGTAGTTACTTGACTTTGCAAAAGGCATTCTGCTCCGAGCTATATAGGAGCAAGTTCATTACATTTTAAGTTACTTGAACTCTTAAGACTGCATCCTGTTCTTGTGAACAGTTTTTTCTTTTTCCAGCCGGTTCTCTGTTTCCATTCATGTTGTTTTACTTTTAGTCATGTTCAACATTACGACACATCCATTTTACAAATTCATCAGCCACAGAAGGCAAATTTGCCTCACCAAACTCTGGCCTCCTAATAAACAAACTCACAAGGATACCATCCCAGATCTCCAGTAGATAAATATAATTAACTCTGATAAATGGTAGCCCTAAATATACATACCCCTTTGAGAATATTTGCTTCTTACTGGGAGTGACTGTAAAGTGTTCTTTTTCCTGTTCTCATCTGTACGAATCAATAAAATCAGACACCAGGGGTTTCATAATTTCTTTAGACGAAGCTGAATACCCAGCTTTTGCTCGTATACATCTAACCACAAATTTAAACATTAGACTCCTATGGATTGGTTGGACAACTTAAAAACAAATTTCTGATGGAGCAGTGTAGATCTTGGATGTCGATAGTTTTGTCTGCGAGATGTAATTTCCAGAGTTCCTAGATTTATGTTGCTGTAAAATTTTGGTCTATTCTACTGAAAATTATGATAGTCCAAAGGTTGAATTAATTTGGGATAAGTCCATTTTACACCCCCCCCCCCACAACCACTTCGTCCCATCCCCTCACGCCAATAGGTCCCTGGAGACCTCCCTTAGACATTCAACTCACCCACGCCATGGACTAGAACCCCTCGTCAGTGTTCTCACTGTACCGCCTAGCCGACCGCGTTCTCCGCTGATGCCAACGCCCCTCCACCCCATCCCCGGCCGCAATAGTTAGGGGATTATAGTTCTCCGCAATGCACCCAACGGTTCCGCTACCCCGCGGGGCTTCTATCATCTCTTATCCGACGATGCGGGGCGCGCGCACATGAGCTGCTCCGCTCAATGCCCTCGGGTTTCCTGGAAATCTGGCGGGTGTCGGAACACGAATCACGTCCGCCACCGCCAGATCCGCTGAGGGTTCTTTCCCAGCTGCAGGCGCTGATGGGGGCGGCGGAGGCGATCCCTGACCTGCCTGTTGCCGCCAGCGCCACCGCCACTATGGAGCTGTGGGTCGAAATCCTCATCGTCCGACTCAAGTCGGCGGTGTCCTCCTGCCATGCAGAAAGATCTTGCAGAAGGATTCGCACAAAATCACCAGAAAAACCCCTACCTGGCATGCCAGCTGCCGAGGGGGCGGTCCCTCGGACAGCGGGTAGTGGAGACCACTCCTAGGAGTGAAGATTCGACCAGAGGGTTAGTCAGTGTGCGGTGTGAGGTATCTTTGATCAGGGTGGTTTTCGTGGGCCTCAACCACCCCACGAGGAGAAAGAGGCAAGAGGTTATATAGGTTCAGGCCACTCGGAGGTGTTATACTCTACTCATGTGTTGGTGTTCGTTGTCTTCTCTAGATCAGCTAAGTACAAGTGAGGCCTTTCCAGGCTACAAAGCGAATGAACTGACCTAGCAGAAACCAACCCTTCATCCGTATCTAGTTCCCTTCCTTTTATTGTCCAAGGAGAGGCTCACATTATTACAAATCTACTCTTTAGTCTTGTCTCATCAGTCGTCTTGTCGTTGCCGGCTGGTTCCCTTACATAGCCCTCAAGAAACCTTTCATGTCTTACGGTTCATATTAGCCCGGGCTCCTGGGCTCCGTCTGAGATAGTTGGGCCTCTGCCAGTGTGCTCACCACGTGGTGCATGGTGGGCCTGACGAGGCCCGACCTGCCGGAAACAACGCCACAGTTATTTCTCCGCCCGTTTGGCTAAATCAAGTTGTGCGGGGCATGTGCGACGTGTTGCCCTCACCGGTTGCCTCTAGCACATTGACGCGGCAACGCCTGTCGTCCTAAGCACCATGACGTCTGCCGAGCAAAGGGACTCAATGACGCCACCACTAGAAGCGCCTCATCCCCACCGATCCGCCCTCTGCCGGCAAGGATGACCCTCACCTACCACCTCGAGTGCATTGACGCCCGCCGAGAGGAGGCACCCAATGCTACCGTTGCTGGGAACGCATCCTCCCTCGATGCCGGCACTATAAACCGGCTGCTTCCTCGATGGCAATCGGACGACCTCCTTCGTCGATGGCTGCCGCCGGCAAATCCTCGCATGGTGGCGACTGGAACGGCCTCCTCTCGCTCGATCCGGATAAAGCGGAGTGGGGAACGGTCAAACGAGTGGTGGGTGGTTTTTGTGTGGTAAAAAACCATATAAATAGGAATATTCATGATAGCTAGTTAAAAAAAATTAAAACATTGATTTGTTCATTGTCCTGCTGAATGGGCTTCATGCACGTGGGAGCACTTTCGCTGATAGTGGCACGTTGCAACACGCTGCGTGTTGGATAGTAGTTCTCAAATATAGTATAATTTTTAACACAAAACAAATATATTATCAAAATATATTTAATGTTAGATTTAATGAAACCAAATCAATATTTTAGATGTTGCTAATTTTTTTATAAATTTAATCAAACTTAATAAAGTTTGAAAATAAATCAAACGAAAATAAATCAAACGACTAGTAATATGACTAGTAATATGAAGAGTAGTAAAAAATTTTTCCATTACTACTCGATGTCTCGATCCCATCAAGGACTTATACTACGACGAGTGAGCAAGCGAAACAAATTAAGCAGGCCCAAACCTGTAAAGTACTAGTACTAGCCGATTAGCCAGCGCTCGCATCGCACTTCCGACTCCGACACCGTTGCGCGCTACTTCGACTCCGATCCTAACCACGCGACGAGTAATCTATATAGGGATTAGCTAAAAAACTGTGGAGTGTTTTTTTAGAGGAAAACTTTCAAATCTAACTACAGTATATAATTTCCCTATAACTATATACTATAATAATAATAATGACTTGTTTATATGTATTAAAAAAAATAATATATGCAACTTTATATCTAATAAATATAGAGATAATATAGTTATAGTATAGTTACACTATAGTTACAATGTAATTACAATGTAACTACGATGTAACTAGATGTAACTACAATGTAACTAGGGTGTAACTAAAGTATAACTAACTGTAACTTGCAAACTTTTCAAAAACTTGCAAGAGATGAAGTGGCTACCATGTATAGTTGGTGGGAATGAGGTCCTAGGTTCAAACCCCACGGTGTAGTTACATCCTTTTATTTATGGAACTTTTTAATATGAATTATTTTATGGGACTTTCTACATATATAAATTATATATATATGAAGCCCAATATATAAATTTTTTTACGTAGACTTTATATATATAAACTTTCAATATATACATTTTATATACAAAAAGTTTCTATATAGACTTTATGTATATAAACTTTCTATAGAATTTATATTTGCAATTAGATAATTTAGTGTATTAACTTTAATATAAATAAAAAATGTTGATCATGCAGCACCGGATATTTTTCCCAAAAAATAGAATCCAATCAAACAAATCTCGTAAGTACAAATTGTGGCGGCATGGATTTGGTTATTAACAGAAGAAACAAATATTAATCACGTAATTAGGCATGTAATTAGGTATGAAGAGATGTTATGCCATGAAAACCGTTCATGAAATCCGCTCATCTCGAACGTTCGTGGGCTAGACCACCCCGGATTAAGTGGTAAAAATGTTAAGGCATGTGAATTTAACAGTAAACATTCTAAATTCTCGCCGTCACGAGCGTATATATACCGGCCGGCATACACGTCAATCAACCGGTCCCACACAAAATATAAAATCTTAACAAAAACGGAAATAAAATGATAAAGCAACGGTATTGCTATATTTATGGCGCACGTTTTTTAGGAAAAAACAGTCGTTTTCCTGGCGTTAGGATCTCCCTTGATTTTCATGCTTAGTTTCCCACGCTGATTGCTGATTTTTGTCGAGGTGTATATAAGGATGACTTATCACTTAATTACTTTGTTATTAATACTCAAAGGGACATGTGATTTTGTGAGTAATTATTTTCTACTTTGCTAGCTAGCTTCTTTCTTTTCTCTAAACGGACATGTGATTTGTGAGCTTCCTCTTCTTTTTACTGTGATTACATTCTAAATACATTAAAATTACATATGTAATTTAGACACTTACATATGTAATTTTAAGACTTACATCCTAAACATATTAAAATTATATATGTAATTTAGATACTTATATATGTAATTTTGAGACTTACATCCTAAATACACTAAAATTATATATGTAATTTAGACACATATATAATTTTGGGACTAACATACTATATACAATAAAATTACATATGTAATTTAGAGAATTACAATGTAAAAACATACCAACTATTTTTTGGTGAAAAATATGGCGCTATAAATATAGCTACTCCGATACCGCACCGCTGCATGCGCCAAGCCGCTAGCCATCCAGCTCTTGCATGCCACCAGCAAAACTACGTATTCCATTGTTTTTGTATGCTACTTCCTCCGTTTCACAATGCAAGTCATTCTAACATTTTCCACATTCATATTAATGTTAATGAATCTAAATAGATATATATGTCTAGATTCATTAGCATCAATATGAATGTGAAAAATGTTAGAATAACTTACATTGTGAAATGGAGGGAGTAGTAATTAATTAGCCCAAAACTATGCACAGCCACATCGAGACTGCATATGCGTCATCACACGGATCAAAACACTACAGCTCCCCAGCCACTCGTGCACCTCAGTAAATCACAAATCCCTGCACACAAGTTGAATTAATTTTCCAAGCTACTTCAACATAATTTGGACAGCTCAAATGAAACCAAATATTGACCAAATTATGGCACAAACAAGATAGACCAAATCACTGTTGCAATCTTCAGATAGAGTTTTTAATCTAACTTTGGTTTACTGCACATGTGCACAGGAAAGTAAGGAACTTCAGATAGATTGTGCTATCTGATCAAGTAATTTGGTATCTCTTGTGGAGATCCTCCTAGCAAAGTAATACTCCGCCTGATCTGCGTGCATTTCTTAACTCCATGGTCGATGAACTTCCACAACTTGCTGGAACCTCGCTCTCCTTTTCTTGAGATTTGCTGGTAGACCTCATCAATTGTCTCTAGCTCTTCAGCTAGGTCCAGTGATAGCATCACTACAAGATCCTCCTGCAAAATTGAGTAAGTTTATTCAACTTAGAGATGTTAGGTAACAAAGACAAAAAAGCATATATGAAGGAATGTGACTATAGTGATCCATCACTTACGTTTTCAGGAGCCATAAGACGTTCTGCAAATGATTTCGAGGTGGTTGGTATATATCCAAATGAGTCAGGAGGATTACAGCTGGAATTGCCAAACTCAAACGTGCTATCAGTAAATGGAGCTTTGACAGGAACCCCTATTAAGAGTAGGTCAAAACAGAAATCAGTGAGGGATAACAAATTTAGGCACATGGAAGAAAAACCATGAAAAGTTAACAAATAACAAGACATTACGTCCTAAAATCTCATCAACAACTCGTGAACCACTGATTAGATTTATTGGGAATCCCACCATTACTTCATTCTTCTTATCCTGCACATGTGCAGCATGCAATAATAGTGCTGATTAGCATAAGTTGTACATAGTGCATTTCCAGTGTTTGCGATGCAAGATAAGCAACGAGACCATTCACTTTTGAACAAATAACACGAAAAGGCATTGCAGTAGAAAGCATGAAAACCAGCTAACTAGTGAATCCTTGTAATAGCAATTGACTGTAAAGCTGTCAGTTTGTACTATGCATGACTACCAAAACAACTATACAGGTAATCGTTACAGACTACATCGACCACATAATAAAGATTCACAGCAGGGTGAGATCTAGGAACAAATAGTCCATCAGAAAACCAGATTCAAGAATAATCAAAACTCATTGGCTAGCTAGTCAGCACAATTAAGATGTTAGATGCCATTGTGCACCCGCGGGGGACTGGTTTGACAAGCAAATGAAATGTAAATTAAGAATGTCATCCCAAGGATGTGGAAACTTGCAAAGCACGATGTGAAGTAACAGAGCAAATTGCCAGGCCAAGGAACAGAGCAAAGACATAGGGTTAATCACCTTTCTACTCTTGGCAGTATCTGTTCCATGTTTCACCAGAGCCATACCCTTATCACTGGTATCCTGCACAGGTGTAAAAATTTCAAGGAGATTAAAAATTTCAAGGAGATTGGATTATTTCAGCAGTACAGCATGTGGAGCATGACATGAGACAATTCAATATCTTCTGAAAAGTTTCAGATACTGGATGCAGTTCATCACTTGTACTAAACATCCTCTTTTTATCCTTGGTCTACAGTCAGAAAGCAAAAAATACTCAGTAAATTGATTGCCGATGATTTTTTCACTTTGCAACTTCGCAGAGCACAGAGTTTTCTTAGTTCAATGCAACCTTTTCATCACAAAGCAAAACTCTGCATCGGGAGTTATCCTTGTTTATAATTTCTTCTGCACGCCTATCTATCAACTCAAAGTGTGAAGCCTGCAACTCTAGGTTTGTTCATCACTTTGTTGGCTTTACCTAGTTGTTTGAATTCGCTGAAACTATTCTATCTGATGTAAAACTCTTTTCTATCCTCCTAATATAACTGGCAATTCTCTTGCCGTTTACTGTAAAAAAAAAGCATTTAGGATGAAAGGGTAACAATGTCAGAAGCACAGAAAAGTCGTTGCATGTTTTACATGCATCATTAAAAAAGCTGCGAAGAAACATCAAACATATAACTGAGACAAACCGTAAATACCTTCGGTTCTGTAGTAGAATGTGAGTAAACCTGTTCTTTCTCTTTTTGTAAGCATTCCTCGGCCTATTAAGCACATAACTAGTAAGAGGGTACCAAAAAACTTAGCCGCAATGTAAATTTCAGAACTCCATAAATACCTTGAGAATGTATTCAGGGTAGGAATTCAGTTCACTATCCCCGAATTCATTACACATATGAATAACATTCTTCAGGAGTGCACGGTCTATGAGCAAACCATTTCTTTCATCATTTATCTGTTAAATAAAAAGAAATGGGTGCTGATCAAGTTAGCTCTATAGAATATGCACGAGATTAAGAAGAAGAGGGCAAGCCCACCATGCCAATCACAGTAGTGGTCAGAGTACTTTTCAGTTTATTGAAAACCTATCACAACAGAAAAATCAACAAGGTACGTGTCAAATCTTGAGTAATAAGTCTGTAGTGCTTCTAAGTTAACACTCGTGTAAAGATCTTCTCTGAAAACTAACAGGCGCTTACCATATCCCGGAATCCTATCCAGCCCATATGTTCGAGCGAGTGAAGAGACTTCCAAGTGATGGAAACACGATCAAGATAATCAAAGAACCTCCTCAGCCACCTTACCATTAGCTTGTGTTTCTCCCAACTTTGCAGCATCTCTGCAAGAAGAAAATTGCCATGCTTCTCATTCAAGGAGGGTAACACCTACAAGATCAGAGATATAGATTAGGAAAAAAGCACAAGAACGGTCTCATCCTGTCATTCTTAAGATGGAATATCAAATGCAATCATCGATCCCAACAAATGTGCCTCGCACTGAAAGTAGAGAATCAATCTAACTTGCTTCATTGCAAAGAATTATCATCAATAAGGCATATGTATGCAGCTCTAAGAACTCGTTGAGGATATACACAGGGAAGACCAATAACTTGCAGGTTGCAACATTGCAGGAACAGAAAAAAGAAATGAACCAAACATTACTGCCAGATGGCTTCATAAATGAATTCTACACATTGCAGGAGCAGAAAAAAAAAATGAGCCAAACATTACTGCCAGATGGCTTCACAAATGAATTCTACAAAATATTCCTCAGCAAATTAGTGCCAAATCTTGAAGAAGTCTTTCAGGCTGATTTCAGACCAATCTCACTCTTTCACAGCCTCACCAAGTTACTCAGCAAAGTTTATGCTAATAGAGTGCAATCGGAGATAACCAATTTGGTTGATCCTATGAATCAGGTATCATTAAAAACAAATCCATCACTGAAAACTTCATTTTAGCCTCAGAAATGTGAATGCTCTCAAGAAGAAGAAACCAATTCTAGCTTGATTTTCACAAAGCATTTGACACAGTTAGTTGGGATGCACTATTCAATATGCTAGAGACAAGGGGGTTCCTCGCCAAAAAAAATCGCAGACAAACCAGAATAAACGTAGAACCCTATTCTGCAACAATTATCGCCGCACTAAGAACCTAAACGTGCAGCGGCGAAATCGAGCAGCCAGGCCGCAGAAAAACATCAAAACAAAATTAGGAACAGCACACGTACGATGGAATCCAGGTGATCATCCAATGCCTGCTTGCATAGGTGGTACAGCTCTTTCGGGTAGTCTTTGTGCCCCTTCTGCGTGCACATGTAATACACCAACCTGCCGTGACGCACACCATGACCAAGCAACAGATCAAATCAGATTGGAACCCCAAGGAACAAAGGAACGAAACCCCCGCAAATCCGAGAGAACCCAAGCGGAGAAGACAAATCAGATTGGAACCCAACGAACAAAAGAACAAAAACCCCGGAATCGAGAGAACCCAAGAAGAGAAGACAACTAGATGAAATCAGATTGGAACCCCAACGAACAAAAACCCCCACAAATCCGAGAGAACCCAAGCGGAGAATCGAGCAAGCAGGTTAGGAACTTACGTGTATATGTGCATGTATTCGTCGGGCGAGAAGCCCCCGAAATCTGAATCAGTATGGATACTCTTGAGCTTGGCGACGCCGGCGAGCACGTCGCGCCATCCTTCCTCGAGGTCCAGGACGCCGCCGCCCCTGGCCCCGCGCCACCGCGCCAGGCTTGTTGAAGGAGGGAGGAGGCGGGGGGCGTGGAGTGCAGCGGAAGCTTCGCCCAGCGGCGAGACAGAAACCGCGTGCGCGCGACAGCTTCAGCCGGAAGCATAGACCGGATGTGTAGCAGAATCTCATCCGGTAGGACGCTCAGCAAGTCCTCCCCGTGGCTCTCCACGGCCGCTCCCTCCCGCCCGCGGTGAACTTGTCCTGTAGACATTTTCTCGAACACCTAGCGAACGTGGGTGGGGGAAGAGAGGTTAGAGACCACAAAAAAAGCGGGTGAGTTAAGCGACGCGAACGCACCACCGCCTCACCTCGTCGCCGGTAGCGCTCCGCCGCTCCGCCCGCCCGACCTCGTCTCCGGCAACCACCGCGCGCGTCGCTGCGGATGGGAGGAAGTCCAACGGTCGGGTGGGCTCTCGGCTTTTCTACTACGGGGCCACATATAGCAGGCTAAACGGGCGGCACGGCCCAGCACGGAACGAGGCCGCTAGCCGCACGGCCCGCTATGACACAGCCCCTTAGGCACGGGGAATAAGTTCTTTCTAGATTCCTATATTTAGAAATTATCAAATAGTTTCCATACTTATCATGTCATATAGACACTACGTATAGAAACAACTATATATTTAATATATGAATGGTATCTTCAAATTAAATTCTCATCTAATCACTTTTATTCTCTTTTTTTATCCATCTATCCCCTTATCGAGGGAGCGATTCCTCCGGCAGCGGGGAGTGGAGACCCCTCTCCAAGTGTGAAGATTCGACCAGGAGGTTTGTGGTGCACGGCATGAGAAAGAGATCAAAGCAAGATCAGATTTGCAGGGCCCCCGAGCTCCACACCAAGCAAAAGACAAAGGAATTATACGGGTTTAGGCCACCCGGAGGTGTAATACCCTACTACTATGTTGGTTTCGTTGGCTTTCCTAGATCAGCTGAGTACAAAGATGGCCTTTTCAGGCTGCAAAGCGAAGCGTCTCGATCTAATGAGTCCAACTCTTCATATCTAGCTTGTCCCATTCCTTTTATAGTCCAAGGAGGGGCTCATATTATTACAAATCTACTTTTTATCTTGTCTTATCAGCCATCTTGTCGCTGATTCCCAAACACAGTCTTCAAGAAACCTACTAAGACTTGACTCCTCCATTGCCCCGGGTACCCGGGCTTCTGTCCGAGATAGCTAGGTCGCGCCAACTAGCCCAGCACGTGGCAAGTGGTGGGCCTAGCGAAACCCAAACTGCCTGAAACAGCGTCACGACTTCACTTCTACCCGTTTGGCTATATCAGGTGGCGCGGTGCATTGTCGACATGTGTCCAAGGCGGCACCAACGCTAATGACTCAGCGTTGTTGTCTTGTCCACGTGGACCACGTCCTTTTAGCTCCCAGACTGACTGGGGCTCCCCATAATACTACTTCATTTATGGCGGAGAGGACCGCTTCACAACAGCTCGAGGAACACACCCATCTCCCTAGCCAGTCCTAAGATCGCGCCCTCGCGCTTTTTGTGATGATAGTTCTCCTGTTCTTAGGCGAGCTTCTCGAAGATGCCTTGGATGAATAGATAATGTATTTATTTTATATGTTTCGACGCTCTTCTTTGCAAAAGGACATGAAACCTACAAGGACTGAGGAGGGCACGTGTCCCAGGACAAGGCTGGGACCGAGGCAGACCTCGAGTCACCACCTTGTTGGTATAACTTCATATGTCTCCACCATGCACCCTTTGTAGAAAGTGTGACCTATAAGGACTAAGGTGAGCCTGGGGCCTAGGACAAGGCTAGGCCCAAGGCAAACCTTAGTTTATCCTTATAGGCCTCTACGCTCTTCTCTCTAAAGAACATAGGACTTATAAGGACTAGGGCGAGCCCGAGGCCAAGAACAAGGCCGGGCCTGATGTAGGTCCTAGTCTACATTCTTAAGATATAGATTTTATAGGTTTCAACACTCCTCTTCACAGAGCAATATGTAACCTAGATGAGCTGAGGTGAGCCAGAGTAAGGCCGAGCCTAATGCATACCTTAGTCTATTTATTTTAAGATGCAGATCTTGTATGTTTCTACACTCCTCTTACCGAGTAGCGTAGAACCTAAAAGGACTAAGGTATGTTTGGGACACAAGATAAGACCGAGTCCGAGGCAGACCTTAGGTTAATGTGACATCCTGGCCCATTTAGGATGAGGCATGTGTGGCTGATGTGAGCTGTGTGCGCATGTTTAATACCACCTTGCTAGTCTAGCAAGGGTGTAACCAACTTATAAGGCATCTTCCCTCCAACCATATCACTTTCGGGTTAACCATTTTACATGAAGCGGGAACAAAAGTGTAAGTGGGGTGGTATGTGTAAGTGGGCCCGCTCGTCAGATGGGCTGGCTACGCGGTTCTTGACGGAGGGTTGTTACAAATGGTATCAGATCCGACCATAATTACAAATGGTATCAGAGCAGGCGTGTTCCTGGACATTTGCTAGTGTGGCTACATGGGTAAGTTGGGCCGACAGGGAAATAGTATCAGAGCGGGCGTGTTCCTAGACATTTGCTAGGGTCCTTTGAATGATTACAAATGGGGTATCAGAGCGCGCGTGTTCTTGGACATTTGCTAGTGTGGCTACATGGGTAAGTTGGGCCGATGGGCTACATGGGTAAGTTGGGCCGATGGGGAAATGGTATCAGACATTTGCTAGTGTGGCTACATGGGTAAATTGGGCCGACGGGGACGTCGGGTCCTTTGAATGATTACAAATGGTAAGTTGGGCCGACGGGGAAATGGTATCAGACATTTGCTAGTGTGCCTACATGGGTAAGTTGGGCCGACAGGGACGTCGGGTCCTTTGAATGATTACAAATGGGGTATCAGAGCGGGCGTGTTCCTAGACATTTGCTAGTGTGGCTATATATAGGTAAGTTGGGCCGACGGGGACGTCGGGTCCTTTGAATGATTACAAATGGTATCAGAGCGCGCGTGTTCCTAAACATTTGCTAGTGTGGCTACATGGACCATGACACTGGATTACCAATAGACAGATGAACCATGTGTGCCCCATGTGAGCTGTGTGTGCATGTTTAGTACCACCACTAAACCATGACACTGGATTACCAACAGACATATGTTTGCAAATATAAACTATTACTGATAATCTATTTGTTGTTAAAGGCTTTTGGTAACCTATATGTCAGCAATACTATGTAAGAAGACATATTATATGTTAGCAATTCTAAATATGTGTAGGTCAAAATATATGTCAGCAATTATAAGAGTACAGGCAAATTATATGTCAGCAAAACTTATTGACCATCTGTCAGCTATGTTCGATCCATCAGATCTTGATCCAACGGTTAGGACAGAGGGAGGCGAATTTAACCCTAGCTAGCGTGTTCCCCACTCCATCCACCGCCGCCGCCTCCACCACGCGCGCCGCATCCATCTCCGCCAAAATCCACCGCGCCGCCTTCTCTCCATCGGTCTCCCTCACCGCCGCATCCTCCTCCGCCGCATCTCCCCTCCTCCCGTCGCCTCCCCAGCAACCTCCGCCGCCGCCGCCACGACGACGAGCCTCCGAGTCCGACCACCGGCAATGGCGCCAACCCTGCCTTCCGCACGCCGCACCTCCGCACCGCCTACCGCAAGCCGGTGCCACCCGTGGCGGCGACGGGGGAGGGCGAGGCGGTCCTCGCCGCCGCTCCTCACCTTCCTCTTCCCCATCGGCCTTCTCCCCGATCGCCTCCCTCGTCCAACTACTCCTCCCTTCCAGAGAAGCGCTGCCACTGTGATCCTTTTCCAGACGCGAGCTCGAAGGCGCTGGTTGCCCCCAAGCTCGAAGAGGTCGAGGAGGTGTGGCGCCCCCCACCTTCCTTACCATCGTCTTCTTCCCCTCCCTCCTCTTTCACCGGATCTGACCGGATTTGGTCAACAGGTGGTTAGGTTTTGCGCCGCCGAGCTCAGCGAAGAGGCCAAGGAGATGAGGCACACCTCCTCCCCCTCCCCCTTTTCTCCGGTTGGTGGTCAGGCTTTGGGCTGTTCGATCTGGCGCCGCTGAGCTCAGCACGATGAAGGCCGAGGAGGCGAGGCGCACCTCCACCGTTGCCCCTCGCCTCCCCATCTTCCTCTCCCTGCCCGATCTGGCCCGAGGACTCGAGGAGTGGAGAGGGGGAGGAGCCACGGTGATGTTGTGGTCGCTCGCCGAGTCGCCGTTGTCTGCAGCTTCTGGAAAGGTTCATTCCGATCTTACTTACCCTCGCGCTTCCACCTAGTTTTAATTAGGCGATAATGTTGGTTTGAGTTGGTGAGACCCGAGGTCTACGTGGATTGGATATTACTCCAGTTTAAGCTTTCAGTAGTTGTGATCGCTAGTGGTACACACTGGCTCATAAAGTCTAGAATATGTATGGGCTTGTGACTGATTGCGAGCAGTGATTAACATTGGCAGTTCCATTTCAATCTATTGCTATATATCTCTTGTGTTCACTTCCTCATTTAGAGTAAAACTGCAATGATGCTTATCTTACAAAGTGCAGGGGAAGCAATTATGCAAAGTGATTTCAGTATGTCGTCTAGAAATATGTCATTTAGCGTCCCAAACTAGTTCTGTATAGCCAAGCTATATAGCAACAGCCTTTGTACATTGAGTTAGAGATAGTATGGAGTGAGAGAGGTTGCATTTTCAGAAATAAAACAGTATGTTGACGTATTTTCAGTAATGAGAATGTACTAGTGAATTTGGTGGTATCTATAGATGTGGCTGGTTGGTATTTGTTGTCTGCATAGGGGTATGTACATAATGTAGTTCTGAATATTCAGTGGTGTTGTACTGAAATTTTAGTTTGACACTATGTACTGAGTTTGATATGCTCTGAGTTTGACACTGTGTAGTGACACTATGGAATTTTATGCTCTGAATATTTTTGTTGCCATATCTGGGGCTTGAGTGAAATTTGTTGGCCAGAATTACATCCTGATTTTGCTATGCTCTGAATTTTTTGCTAAAGGCTTTCTGTACAAATGCATTTGGGTAGGTTGGATTAGTCAAGTTACATACAAATTTCTATCTGCGACAGCTACAGAGGAGTATATAAATTGTATCCTGTCTTGAGAGCTTCTGTCAAATATTCCATTTGTAGCTTGCTTAGGTAATTTGCTTTATTTAAATCGCTAAAAGTCTGAGTCTGGGATCTTCAGGTTCAAAAATGAAACTATTGAGCTGATCGGGGCTTTAGATCAAATTCTCTGAACAATGTGTTCTTGTTTAATCCATATAGGAACATTTGTCTGAATCCGTATAGGAACAATGGCACCATCCAATACGTGTGAATTTTCAGATATCAGAATTTAATTTTGTCCAGATTTTTTTCCTCAATAACAAGGTTCTGATTTTTTTTATCCATGGACAGATGATAGGTTCTGATTTTTGTCATTCTCTTGGTGATGCTCTTAGTGACTACACATGATACATTAGTAATTCATATGCCAATCATCGATTCCCATTTTGCACTGCATTTGGTATTTATCATGCTTCACTTTGGCAGTTTGCACTGCATTTTTGTGTGCTCATTATTGCATGCTCATTGTATTAAAAAAGTTCTGTTTTTTTAAAAAAAACAAATTTCATGTTAAGTGGAATAACATTACCTTTTGTTTTTCTTCTTCAGAAATCAAGATCTTGGATTATTGCCTTAAGCGAGGAAAAGGGAAAAGTATACAGGTGCCCTTGCATGACTTTGCTTGTTTGTACAGGACATCATATAGCCTATCTCCCTTATCATGGTAGTTTGACTGGTTGTAAGGATCTTAATTAGTTATATCCAATTTACAGATTTATTGATTATTTGAACAACTAGGGCAATTTGTCCTGTTACTACAAATTTTAGAGCAATTTTTTGTGTATAACTTTTTAATCTCCAAAAACATGCCTTAAGCTGACTATATAAAAGTTTAGTTGGTGAAAGTTCAGTTTAGTTTGGAACTTTGGAGTACCATTTATCTTGAAACATAGAGGAAGTGCATGACACTGAATATATATTAATGCAAAAGGACTGTTTGAGTGAGGTAATAAATGAGAAATAGTCCAATAAAGAACATATCAACACTAATTAGATGATGCAGTAGTAGGAAACATATATGATGATTTCAGTCATGTGCTTATGGTTTTATCCACCATCTACTTTTTTTAATCTTTTATTCATACTGCTGCTTAATTAGTGGATGCAATACTAGAATGGAAATGTATGGCGTGAAACTTCTAGCCCGCTTTTGCTTTTATTCTGAATGTAGCTGCCAAGCTAGTCTTCAGTATTTGTAGTACTCATTGAGCTTTGATTTGGTCCTCAGTTAGTGTTAATACTTTTGCCCCTTCTACAACTTATTTACTCCGCATCTCTCTCTTTCTGTTTTGGGCACAGGAGAAAATATTAGTTCTCTGAAGTAGACAGTGTGTTCCTTAATAAATATCAGGGGTCTCATTAGTTGCCCAAAGGCTTATTATAAGCCGTAACGGTTTATTAGCGACTAGAAAATAATTTGTGTCTAAAAATTTTATATATGTGTTGTTAGTGACTTAAAAGGCAATGCTGAAAAAAAAACTACGTTGAAAATATCTTAAAATCAACTTCAAAATTAAGTTTCAAAATTCAAATGTTGGCTTTGGCTTTTTATGCCAACCGATGTGGCTTTGGCATACCTTTCAGTTAGTAGCTAATGACAGTCTTTGATAGCATATATTGCTTTTCATCCAGTATTCATGGCATTCAATATTATTATCTGATAATGTAAGTCGATCATTTTGCAGGTCTGATCTTTGTTGATCTTGCACTTACCTTGGTGGTTACATGCATTTTGGGGTGTGCCTTTGGCGATTTTGAACAGGCCTAGATATATTGCTTTGCTATGTTGACGTTTATTAGAGTAGATAATTGTATTTCTCGTAATGTGGAAATGGCAAAGATTATGTATTGCTACAAAATTGTATAGTTGCTCTTCCCAATTCCATGTACAAGGCATTTCTCATTGAATGGCAAGATCATGTATTGCTGGAACGTGATCAAGGAAACTATTGATCACTGTGTGATAGCATATTGAATTAATAGAAACTCCATGCGCAGAACTATTTTTTTTCCCAATATAAAATGTGCTGACAAATTTTCTGTCGGAAAAAGTGACATTTGCCAGTGAAAAATATAACCGTCGGCAAAGGTTGTCTGTTGGTAAATATTATCTGTTAGCAAAGATAAAACAACACCCACAATCTATCTGTCGGCAAATATATTTGCTGGCAGCAGTTGGCCTGACAGTCAGTAAAACTTTTCCTGACACATAATATAATAACATATGGGGTCTTTACCAACAGATTTGTAGTTAGCGAATTTGGGGCGTGGTGTAGTGCACCTTGCTAGTCTAGCAAGGGTAGAACCAACTTATAAGGCATATTCCCTTCAACCATATCAATTCTTTAACCCTTTTACACGAAGCGAGCACGAAAGTGTAAGTTGGCCCACCCGTCGGATGGGCTGGCTACGTGATTCTGGAGGGAAGGTTGTTACAGCTACATTCACAGCTCATCAAACCCTTGCTAGTCTAGCAACAGTGGGTTAACCCTTTTACACGAAGCGAGGACGAAGTGTAAGTGAGGTGGTATGTGTAAGTTAACCCGTCCATCAGATGGGTTAGCTACGCGGTTCTAGAGGGAGGGTTGTTACAGTTACATTCTTATCCCATAAACGGAGACATGTGGGCCCCTATCAACATCACCCCGGGGGCAGCTTTCTATTTTTAAGGATGGTTTAAGCATGCCATTTTTTTTCTTGTAATTGCTTTGCCGAGTGAATGGGTACCTAGGTTCCCATTTCAACGACAGTAGCCCCTAGCCCTGGGTCGGGCTGGAGAAGTAAATAAAGCCGGACCTAGGGCTTCTCTTCAAGGAAACTCCAATGTCAAGCCCCCGAGCCCACCTTATCAGGAATCAACGGTCGCGACAATGCTCTGTCACATCGCATGTCTTTTATATCATTCTACGGGTTAGTTGCAGGAGTTAGGCCACGCTCGCACGCCGCCTTAATTTCCCACTACCACCCCGCTTTTCGAGGCGTCGTGGGCGTGGAGGTCAAAACGACTACCTAGGTTTTTTCCTTTAAAAACCCCTTTCTCGTCTCCATTCATTCTTTCCTTTTAGCGATCTCTATTCACGCTTTCCTCCATTTTCCCAAATAACTTTTTTCGCTTTTATGTGAGGACCGAACTCCCTAGAGATACCAACTCTTGCCAACGATTGATCTGTCCGGGCACCATAGCCAGCCAGAGGGCCTGGGCTATTCTTCGAAAGGGCCAACTATCATGTCATGATAAATTCATCCCGAGTTAAAAATCATTCTCTAAAAGAATAATATAATTAATTAAAATTCGAAAAGAAATTGGCAAACATTAAATACGTACCAGAAAAATTCGAATGTGGCCCGAAGTATTTTTATTAAATTATCCTTGGTCTAAAAGGAGCCCTCAAATTTTACTTGAATTTTCAGAGCACCGAAAATATTTATGAAGCAACAAAAACAACTGTAATAGTTTATTAAAATAAAAAACTAAAAATAATCCCTCTCCTTCATTAGGACAAGTTTGGCCCAAAGCCCCCTCCCCCCACGCCCCCCCTTCTCCCTCGGCCCATGGCCGAAGTCTCTTACCTCCCTCTCTTTTTCCTCCACTCTCTTTCCCAGACGGAATAAGTCCATATTACCTCCCTCATCTCTTGCGATTGGTTCAATTGCATCCCCCAACCGTAAAACCGGGAATAACCTATCCCCCAACTCCCAAAACCGTTCCAAATCGACTCCCCGGACGGTTTCGGAGGCGGTTTTATCCCACGTGGCATCTTTGACCCCATTGAATGGCTGAGTCATCAGATGGGACCCCCCATGTCAGCTAGCTGGCTACTGGTGCAGCGTGGCGATAGGGTGGCCTTTTGCTCCTCGTCATTATCGTTCTCGCCCGATGCCAAGCTCCTTAGGATGCCGATCTCGAGCTAGTGGCGATGGGCTAGCGGCCAGGTTCCGCATCCCGCCGCAGCTGGAGTGCACGCAACAGGCTGGGAGGCCGCACGGTGGCGAGTAACGATGAGGCAGGAATCCCATGGGCGTCAACACGGGGTCCTCAATGGTCTAGATGGAGAGCTGTACCGCCTTGACGCCGAGCGGCATGGTGACGTCGGCGGTCCACGGCGAGGGGAAGTCAAAGAGAGCGACATCTAGGCGGATCCTCCTTCTCCCCTCTCTCTCCCCAGATGCGGGTGGCAGGCAGCGAGCGTTGGCGGCTGACGGGAGAAGGCGGCACCACCGGCAGCACCACTATCACCTCGCGGCGAGCGGGACGGCGACGGCGTTCAGGGAGTACAAGATCTACCGCGTCCGGCCGACCGCGACCACCCGGCGAGTTCCTCCCCCACGACTGGCCGGCCGTGACCTCCCGGCGAGCTCCTCCCCGGCGCCCAGCCGGCCGCAGCCTCCCAGCGAGCTCCTTCCGCACGTCCGGGCGGCCGCGACCTTGCGACGAGCTCCTCCCCCGCGTCCGGGCGGCCTCGACCTCCCGGTGAGCTCCTCTCACGCGCTCCTCCAGTCGTGGTATCCCGGCGAGCTCCTCCACCGCGTTCGACCGACCGCGACCTCCCGGCGGTCGTGGCGAGCTCCTCCCCCGCGCCCGGCCGGCCGCGACCTCTCGGCGAGCTCCTCCCCCAACCTCCGGACGAGCTCCTCCCCTGCGCCCGGTTGGCCGCGGCCTCCCGGCGAGCTCCTCCGCCATGCCAACCTAGCCGTGGCCTCCCGCCGAGCTTCTCCCCCGTGCCCGGCCAGCCGCGGCCTCCCGGCGAGCTCGTCCCCGGCTGCCGCCACTCGAGCAGATGGAAGGTGTAATGCTGTGGCTGTGAGAGAGGAGGAGATGAAAGAGAGGGGAGGGGTGATAGATGGGCCCCATGTGGATCCCACCTAATTTATTTTAATGTGAATGCCACCTAGATGCCACGTGGATGCCACATATACTAAAACCGGACTCAATACTACCTTGGGAGTCGATTTGCACCGGTTTTCGGAGATGAGGGAGTCGCTATACCTGGTTTTGTGGTTGAGGGATGTTATTCGATAAAGTGCAAGAGATGAGGGAGGTAAAATGGACTTATTCCTTCCCAGACCGCCCGGCCTAGGTCGCCCCACCCCTTCCACCTGGGCCACCTCCCGGCCCAAGCCAAGCCGCTCTCCCCCTCGCCCGCACGTGCACTGCATGCGCTGCCGCGTGCTGGCAGGTGGGGCCCACGTGTCGCTCGTCCCCAACCTCCAGCCGCCGGCCTCCTGTAACACCCTGAAAATTCGACCAACGAAATCAAAACACCAAAAATACGGATTTTCAAAAACTTTTTAAGTAATAAATTGCATCATGCCGATTTTATTCGCCTATTTCATTGGATTTTGATCTCGGAATTTATTAATCACGAATAATGAATAACTAACTAGGAATAAACCCTAAAAATCAAGTTGGCTAAATAAATAATTAAAATATAAATTAAAATAAAGATTAGGTGGGATTGGAAATAAATAAAATATTATCGCGACCATATTAGCAATAATTAAATTTTAGTACGATGGAATGAGAATTAACCCTAATTAAAAATTCAAATAAATTATATAAACAAAATATGAGTGATATTAAATTAGGGTGAATTTTTAGTTAGGATAACACAAATATGGAGTAAACTTCATTTATGCAAAAATTAGAATTTATAGGGCTATATTTAAATAGAAAATGGGCTAAAATTAGGATAAATAGGAAAAGTTACTGTTCATTGCGGCATAGGTGTTCGATCGTGGTCCCCCTAGCCCCGCCCCCTGCCCTGCCGCGTGCGCCGCGTCGCCCGCCCGTCGTGCGCGCCGCCGCCGCTGCCGCGCCGTCACCGTCACGTCGCCGTCGCCTCACGCCTCGAGCCGCCGCGCGCCCGTCCCCTCGCGCCTGCGCCCCGCCGCGCGGCCGTCCCCTCGCCGTCGCCCTGCGCCGCTGCCGCGCCGCCCGTTCCATCGCGCCGAGCCCCGTGCCGCCGCGCGCGTCGCGTCACCCCGCCTGTCACGCCGCTCGCTCGCCACCCGCTGCGTCGCCGTCCCATCGCCGCGCGCCGTCACCATCGCCGCGTCGAGCCCCACGCCACCCGTCGCGTCGCCCGCCTCGAGCCCCGCACCGCCGCCCGTCGCATCGCCGCTCCGAGCCCCGCGCCACCATCGTGTCGCAGCCCGCGCATCGCCGTCGTCCCGCCCTGAGCGCCGCCGTCGCGTCGCCATTACGCCGCCGCCCCTCCCCCTCTCCTTCTCCCCTCTCTACAAATACCCCCCCTCCCTCCATTTTCCTCCACCCAATCTCACCCTTCCTCCCCTCTTCCCTCTCCACTGCGCCGCCGCTCTCGTGCCACCGCGCCGCCGTTCCCGTGCCGCCGCGCCGCCTCTCTCGTGCCACCGCACCGCCGTTCCCGTGCCGTCGCGCCGCCGTTCCCGTGCTGCCGTGCCGCCGCTCCCGCGCCGCCGTGCGCCACCTTCGCCGCCGCCGTCGTCGCCGCTGCCGCCGCCGGTGAGCCGCCCTCCTTCCTCCTCGCGTCCACCGCCGCCGCCGCTCGGGTGGGAGAGAGCCGAGAGAGAGAGGGAGAGGAAAAGAGAGGCCGGCAGAGAGAAAAAGAGAGAAAGAGAGAAAAGAAAGAAAAAGAGAAAGAGAGAAAAGAAAGAAAAAGGAAGAAAAAGAGGAGAGAGAATGGAGAAAAAGAAAAGGAAAAATAAATAGAAAATTAGGAAGAAATTAAGGAGGTTAATAGTTTAAGAAAATCTAAAATAATTAGAATTTAATTATAGATTAATTATGGTCATAGAATTGCAAAATTTAATATAAATTATAGATTATTCTTGGTAATTTCTAAAAGAAATCAATTCGCGGTAGTAGTTTAGATGTTATTAACAACTAAACAATTAGATGAATTTTTATAGACTATTATAGATTAGTTTTGGATAATCTCTATAAGTAATCGATTCACGGTAGAAGTTCGGATTTAATCACTAGGAATTTTAGACGTATATTATATTTAATCGGTTAGTCATA